GCTAACTTTGAATTGGTGCGATCCAATCTAACAATACAAGCCAGATAACAGGAAAAAACACTAATACTATTTTAACATACATGTGTGTGCGCATAAATATACACAATGTGCTAATAATTCAAACCTGAACCACAGCAAAGACTGGCTCATAAGGTTTGAAAATTCGGTCGGATTTCTGAAGTGGCCCGATCACCTCATATCCAATGTCAGCTGCCTCTTTTATCTTATCCTCTGGACTCTTCGGCCCACTATCCGCTTCCAGGACATTCTCATTGTCCTCCTCGTCGTCACTATAATCGTCAGTTGCTTCTTCGCTTTCATCACCAGATCCATCATCATTTCCATTTGTGTGCTTGGAACAGAAGTTCCGAGATAGAAATGAGTATTGGGAGTGTAACTTTGTTGAAATGTGGAGAGAATCTTGAGAAGAGGTTAGAGCTCTAAGAGAATTTAAGAAAACTGGGTTTAGAATTTTCAGAGACTTGAGAAACGGATTCGAGAAGACAATCAAAGAAGGGGATTGCCGTAATAAATTTCGAAGGCAACGCCGAGTAGCCATTGCTGACGAACTGAAATGAGCTTTCTAGGGTTTTGGAGATTTTCAGTCTGGGGTTTTGCCGTTTCGCGAAGTATGATTTCCTGTTTTTGAAGGGCCTCTGTCATGAGGTTCTATTTTTTAGTCAAAAGCATACTATCATTAATTCAATAAATCGTTAGCCAGATGGCTAGAAATACAACTCGGAACCTATAAATAGTCAACGGACTGATCTGAGATGTGAACATGTGACTTTGCCAGAGCATGAGCCACACGATTCGCAGACCTTCTACAAAAAGAGATTTTATAAGAACTATGTGTTTCTATCAGACTACGAATATCATTAATAATAAGATAGATGAGCATAGAATAATCCCTCTTTCTTTTGTAGACTCTGAACCACCGTGAGAGCATCGGTCTCTGTCTCTACTCGCTGCCAGCCTGCATCAATAGCCCCCAAAATAGCATCCCGAACTCCCATAGCCTCCGTCTCCTCAGCCGACCACCCTGCTTTGTGACTCACCCCACGGCCCTTCAAGAAGGAACCACTTTCATCCCGAGCCACCCATCCCCAAGCTCAATTCCTCCTTGATGATTTACTGCGGCATCAACATTGACCTTGATGCCTCCTTGACTCTATCTCGCCCATCGTCTCAACTCTTCCCCTTCCGATAGCTTATTGCTAGAGTCTTTCCTGCCATGTATTTCCTACCAAGCTCCCAGCATGTTATCCGCCACTCGAATCACTGTCTCGGTCTCCTCCACTTTATCCTTCCAAACAACTCCATTCCTTCTCTTCCACAAACTCCACAAAACAACCACAAATCTGCTACCTAACTTCCTATTTTCCTGTGCAATACTGTCCCGCAGCTAGCTCTCAAAATCCTTCACCTGTGTCTCGGTTTGTATACCCGCAAACTGCCAGGCAGCCTCGGCTTTGGGGCAGCTGCGCAACGCGTGCTCAGCGCTTTCTTCATCGGAACCGCATTTAAAATTCAAAAAATGAAGGAATGACGTATTTTAAAGGGGTTAGGTCATGAATATTACTAATTAAAAATGTTTAGACAAATATAGGACCTCTTTCAATGAATTCCAAATATGAGACCATACGCATGATGTGTTAGCAAAACTGGAATGGAATTATCAAATATGCCCCCCCCAGCCCCCCTCCCTAATAAATTAAGGGTTGGTTTGCAACTCCTTTTAAAAAAGCACTTTTCAGCTTTTGGCTTTAAAGAAGCACTTATTTTCCCAAACACTACAACTTTTATTTTTCTCGGCTTCCGCGTCAAAAGTGCTTTTACTTTTTCTATTACACAAAAAGCACTTATTTTACCAAATACTCCCCACTTTTACTTTTCAAAATCACTTTATTCTCAAACACTATCAACTTTTATTTAATCACTTCTCCTCATTTCATTAAAAAAAACACTTTTTTAAAAGCATAAACAGTTGCAAACAGACCCTAATACGTACTCCGTATGCGAGTAATTCATGTCCATGTGGCCACGTTTCACTCCGTAGTCAACTTTTTAAAAAAATTGACTTTCATATCCTTTCCTCCAATTAGAATTCATTCAGTGCCCATTTATAATTATTTGATCTTATGAGCTACAATTATAATTATTTGATCTTATGAGCTACAATTATTGTTACCCAATAAATTCCAGTTACCAGGCTGACCAATTATAGTTACATGTCTCCAGTTATCCTAATACGTACTCCGTATGCGAGTAATTCATGTCCATGTGGCCACGTTTCACTCTTGCTAGTCTTTCCCAGTGCATGCAAAAAATTGACTTTAATATCCTTTCCTCCAATTAGAATTCATTCAGTGCCCATTTATAATTATTTGATCTTATGAGCTACAATTATAATTATTTGATCTTATGAGCTACAATTATAATTACCCAATAAATTCCAGTTACCAGGCTGACCAATTATAGTTACATGTCTCCAGTTACACTTATATGATCCGTCAGTTACAATTATCCGATTCACCAGTTACAGTTACGCCACGCCAGTTACAATAATACAATTCTTCAGTTACAGTTACAATACATGACTCGCTAGTTACAATTACGTGATTCGTCAGTTACCGTCAGTTACAATTATCCGATTCACCAGTTACAGTTATGCCAATTACAATTATCCAATTCGTCAGTTACAGTTACATGACTCGCCAGTTACAATTACGCGATTCGTCAGTTACCGTCACTCACTTATCCAAACTACATGTTACAGTTACTCATTTACAGTTACATGATCCGTCAGTTACAATTACCCAACTCGATCAATTCCAGTTACCCAATTCGATGAGTTACAATTACCCGACGGTTAGAGATATCCGACCCAACCGATTATACGTGCCCAATTGGATAGTGACCGCCACCACCGCCGGCCACCACCGGCGGCCATTATCTCCGACCACTGCCATACCTAACTCCCAGCCCTAACCATCTCCCCAACACCCAGCACCCAGCCACCACCCTAGCTCTCTCCCGTCACACTGCCACCACCCTGATCGGTCACTGCTGCCACCAGTGATGACGCCGACCACCACAACGACCGCCACCTGCGCCAGTGACCTCCAATCACTCAGATCTGTTTTTGTCCGGCCAGATCTGCTAACCTAGACATCTCCCTCCTCCGAGACTAGTTGTTTCCTTGTCATCGTTGACCTGAAGACGATCGAAACCACCGAGCGACGGAGTCCGACCATGGCTTCGAGCAAATTCCACGCGGACTTGAAGAAGAAGGTGATTTCAACGCGAGCCACACCGGAGGTGGCAACCTAGTATGCGACGATGGTATGGAAGATAGAGGCGGAACATCTGCTTGGAGAGGCGGAGATAGGCCTGGGATCGGTTCGGTTCTTATTGAAAAATGGAGGAACCGTTTATAAATGTTCAACGCATCTAACCGGTTCGGTTCTTATGAAAAAATTGTAGAACCGTTAAGGAACCGAATCAAATCTAAACGGTTCGGTTCCCGGTTTTTTTTGGTTCCTAAAAATAGTATAATCATCTTATTTTAACTGTAAAAATAACTGTAAACAAACATACTACCATAAATTATTCTTAATTATAGTTCAATACATCATTCAACTAATTATAGTAGTATAACATACAGAGTACCTGCTTGTACATACATATTCCAATTTTGTGTGTGTATGATTGAAGATAACTAATCCACAGAAGATATTTAAGAAGAATGACCACTGGAAGATTACTCATGTTAGGAAGAGCCAAAAGCAAATGGAAAATTGAGGTTCGAGTGCAGGGCACGTGAGAAAGGGTTGATGTGTTTTTCTTATACATATTGTGTGTTAGATATTGTTTCTTGTGCATTAGATATTATTGATTGTGTGTTAGATACATATTCTTGTGGATGGGGTAATTGCAGATAATGTTTGTTGTAATTTATTGTACACATATTATACTTATTTTTTAAAACAAAATTATATATGACATATTGGTGTCATGAAAGACCATAAAAATTTGTTTAATTTGATATAGTTTTTGTTAAAATCAATCAGATTATAATTTAAAAAGTTAAATCAATTTTTAAACTAAAATATTTTATATGATTTGACCTTTTATATTTTCCTAATTTTTAGGTAGTTGATAACCTCTAAGGCTCTAACCGTTCCAACATTAAAGGATTGCTAAAAGATTGACAATTTCACCCTTTGTGCAAGCCACATACTGTGATGTTATTTTTCCAAATGTATTTCTGTGTGTCGCTATGCACGAATTAATCGTGCACCAACCAATTACTTAACCGTTTGATTCTCTTAATTAACAACCGGGATTTGTTCTAACTTCTTACAATAAAGAGTGTTCTCATTAGAAGCTCTCCCTATATATATGGGGTTGGGTGGGGGTTGAGAGGGGGCAACTTCCCCCATCGCCCCCATAGTGTATACGCCCCTGCCCCTAGACCGTTCGACTTCTTATTGTGTAACTTATACTTCGTATTTTAGAGTTATTTATAATTACAAATGTTACTTTGATAAAATAACCATTAAGAGGTCGTTGGACAACACTGTTTTTCGGCTTATCAGACTTATCAACCAACTTTTTCACCAAACACGTAACTTTTTCTTTCGTGCGCTGAATTGTGTAATAAGCAAAAAAGTAAGGTTGAAGTTAATTTTCTGGCTGTATATTTAAAGTTATTGTAGGTGACCATTTTAGCTATTTTTACGTATAATCTTTTCTTTATTTTATTAATAAAATATATTTTAAAAATAATTTTTTTGAAATCATTAGAATTAGCCAATGCAGCAGTGCAGCTACTTAAGCCAAAATTTCACACATTTAAGCAAAATCAACTAAAACAGCTGATTTTCATGCTACCAAACGGGCTCTAAATAACTTATGAAGTGTTGAAGCCTTAAAAATTGAAATGGCCCTCTGCCGTATTTGTTGGGCTTGAAGCCCAAAAGCTTTTATAAACTTAAAATAAACTAGGGATTTTATTGAGACTGCTTCACCAGCTCTCTACACTCCAGAAGCCGCCAGAGAAACTCGACAAGCATCCATGGTGGTTTTCGAAATAGGAGCAGTGCCCTTTAATCCAGACGGATGGGGACCGCCGGAATCCTCCACCGTTGGCTCCCTATCCGCCTCCAGCCAACCTTCATACGTTCCATTCGCGCCGTTCTCCCGCTCCGACAAGCTCGGACGAATTGCTGATTGGACTCGAGGTTTTCCGGGACAGAACCGGCCTGGCTACAACACAAAACAGAGCGCTGCGGATTCGGCTTTTGATTTCTCCGGGGACGATTCTTTCGGCCCGTTGGCTGCAGATGATGAATCTTCCTTCCGTTTAGTCGACACCGCCTCGAAGTCCCACCATCATGGCCAGGACCGCCCCAAATTCAATTCTAGGCGGCGCTTCCCCTTCCAAAACCGATCTATGCTCCCTCAACGCCGTGACGAGGAGGTGGAAGCTCGCAAGCGCGAGGCAGAGAAGGAACGTGCTCGCCGTGACCGTCTCTACAACCTCAATCGGTCCGGTACGAACGCTGGTTCTCGCCGTGAGTCTTCTGTTTTCAAATCCTCAGTCGATATACTGCCTGAATGGACCATGCTCGATCAAATCCCTTTCTCAACCTTCTCAAAGCTCTCGTTCTCCGCTCCTGAACCAGAAGATCTGTTAATCTGCGGCGGCCTTGAGTATTACGACCGATCCTACGACCGAGTCACTCCTAGAAGCGACCGCAGGCTCGAGCGTTTCAAGAACCGCAACTTCTTCAAAGTTACCACCACAGACGATCCAGTTATCCGACGTTTAGCCAATGAGGATAAAGCCAACGTCTTTGCCACTGATACCATCTTATCGACACTGATGTGCGCGCCCAGATCTGTTTATTCATGGGACATAGTGATTGAGAAAGTTGGGAACAAACTCTTCTTCGATAAGCGTGATGGGTCACAACTGGATCTTCTTTCTGTCCACGAGACATCCCAGGAGCCATTGCCTGATGTCAAGGAAGATATAAACTCGGCTTATTCTCTAAGTGTTGAAGCTGCTTATATAAACCAGAACTTCTCCCAACAAGTTCTGGTAAAGGAAGGGAGTAAGGTTACCTTTGAGGAACCAAACCCATTTGCCAGTGAGGGAGAGGAAGTTGCCTCTGTTGCTTATAGGTATAGAAGGTGGAAGCTTGATGATGATATTCTTTTGGTTGCTAGGTGTGAGGTGCAGTGTGTGATGGAAGCCAACAACCAGAAGTCATTTTTGACAGTTAACGCATTGAATGAGTTTGATCCCAAGTTTTCAGGGGTTGATTGGAGGCAAAAACTGGAGACTCAAAGGGGGGCAGTTTTAGCCACTGAGTTGAAGAACAATGCCAATAAACTTGCTAAATGGACTGCACAGGCTTTGTTGGCTAGCGCAGATATGATGAAATTGGGTTATGTTTCTAGGGTTCATCCTAGGGATCACTTTAACCACGTGATTTTGGCTGTTGTTGGTTATAAGCCGAGAGATTTTGCATCACAGATAAATTTAAATACCTCTAACATGTGGGGAATCGTGAAGAGCATTGTGGAGTTGTTTATGAAGTTGAATGATGGAAAGTATGTACTTGTTAAAGACCCGGCAAAGCCCCAAGTCAGAATCTATGAGGTCCCACCTGATGCTTTTGAGAATGATTATGCTGAGGAGCCTCTGGCTGAGGAAGATCAGGTTCAACCACCTGCAGAAGAAGGGGGTGAGGGCGAGGGTGAAGCAAATGTTGCAGAAGCAAATGATGTCGATGGCAAGGAGAAGGAGCCTCTTAACAATGAAGCATCTTCTTGAAGGTGATGAATGAATTCAAGCACTACATAGACCTTTCTTTAAGTTTTTTTTGCAGTTGGTAATATTCTTGCCATGAATCATGAATGCGAGGGGTTTACTGCTTTGTTTTCTTTTCCAGTTGATACTGAGGTTTAATTAAGAGTTTTAATTTAATTCCTTACTAATAATCTTATGAATATTTTTGCTTTTTTTATTGTCCTTTGGCAGTCTTACAATCTTTTCCTAGATCAATGATTGAATTAACGCTCACTTGAAAGTTTAAATCGTAGGTGCTTTTAAATGTCCATTTTAATGGATAAGAATTTTAGGATTTGGACATCCCAGTGTAGACAAAGTCGTGCGCTTGGGGACTTAAGCGCACCAGGCACAGCGCACATGAGCCCCAGCGCATGAAGAATGATCAGGCACACTCCCCGCATAAGTGCTGAAGCACTGCAACGATAAAAGGTGCTCGCTATTTGCGCCTGAAAGGGGAACATGTTTTTTTAAGTTATTGATACAGTTCAGATGTGTGGTCAAATAAGAAGCACATTTTGTTAATAAAGCCCGTCTAAGTAAGGTTAAAACAACATAAACCTATGCGAAATAACGCAACGGAAACCTGTTCTACTCTGCTCTACTCAAGTTACATGTTCACTACATCCTCCTGTCCTTCACAACGACCGCAGAAGCTGGCAGCAATAAGTTTTCTTCTCCTTCATCGTTCCATTTTCTTTCTTTTTTTCTTTTTTAGCATCTACTTTTTCTTATATACTTTATATAACTTAAAAATATATATGTAAACTGCAAGTTTTTTTTTGTAAACTACCAGTATAATGGTCTATCATGTGCAACACTCTTCGTTGTTTCATTTTCTTTCTTCTTCATTTCTTTACCATACATCTTCTTATAGTCTATACTCTATCACTCTAGAAAACTAAAACCTAATTATGTTTTATTTTTCAGTTTTAAAGTTTAAGACTTCAAGTTGTCAATTCTGAATTTGGTTGTTTTGCTTTTGTGAATCGTGAGTTCGTGACTTTATTTTGGTGAAACATGACTTTATTTGTGAGAAACCTGACTTTTTAATGTAGTTGGTTCAATATGGTGTTATATACGTCATGTTTGATTATTGGAGAATAGTATGTGTGATATTTTCTAAACAAAGCACCAGGCATGAGTCAGATGAGTGCTTTTTTGTGCCTTGTGCCTCAAGCGCGGGGATTACCCCATCGCCTTGAGTGCGCCTCACGACTTTGACTATCTTGGGACACCCATGGCCTCTGACTTTGATTTATTAAAAGAATATATTTTCATCTATAGATAAGCAATACTATAGATAAAATTACATCTTCAAACAAGGAGAAATGATAATATGTGAATTGGGTTTGACCGTTTCAGAGTAGTAATAGTTTGGCAGATCTTCTTATCACTTTTCGAATTATTTTTGGAGATGCCTATTAAATTTCATTTTTTCATAACACCTTAAATTAATTGTTTAAATACTACTCTGTATGTGTAAAAGAACTGGCTAGCTGTTGGTGCGGTTTAACACCTTTCACCAAGCCATTTGTTGTGCAAGGGGAAACAAGAAAACTAAAATGCATCAACATCATTTCTCCTATACATTTATGCCACGCAAGGAATGAAACAAATTCCTTCTCCCTTCTCTATATAATTCGTAGTAATGCAAAATAGTAGTCAAAGAAAGGTAAATTTCAGTGGAAGCTTAGGAACTACGGAGTATAAAACAGATTTTTTCGGCCTCATTTTAAGAAGGGAGTTTATCATTCTTGTCCTTGCCGGAGCTGGTTACCTAAGGCTAATGATACACTACTACTAAATTTAAGGCCTCTTCATTAATATGATGACAGAATGTTGAGGCAATATTTTCTTCTAGTGATGAGGTATTCTTGTTGGCCGTATTATTTCAAGTTCTCTATCTTTGTTTAATGGCTGATAAAAACAAATCATTGCATTTCATTATGGGTAAACAGATGTCAAGACAGTGGCGAAACTAGGTGGGCGTACCGGTGCCGGTGCCTAGTGATGGACCGGTTCCGGGCTGACCGGCCTGGCTGCCCGGTGGCCTGTCCAGAGACTGGTCTGGGTAGGCCCGACCCGGGGGTTACATAGGACGGGCTCGGGTCAGCCATAATAGGAACCGGCCCGGGCCTGGTTCGGGCCTATTTTTTTTTTCCTTTTTTTTGTTTTTCCTGGGTTGGGCTGGGTGTTTGGGGGTGGGGGATTAATTAGAAAAGCAAAAAAAATCAACCGGCCCGAGGCCCGACCTGATCCGGACCCGGTGGATCACCGGGCTGGTTCCAGGCCTCAACTTTCCCCAAAAAAGCCCGGTCAGACCCGGCCTGGCCCATGCCTACCGGTGCCCTCCATTTGCCGGAATAGCTAAGGTAGATATATGTATTATTTGCATCGTGCCTCTGGAGGTCGTCTTCTTTTTTCATAGTTTGCGGACCCTGTTCTTATTGAAAGGGGTGAATGATGTAGTAGTCCATTTGTTTTATTCATTTAGTGATTAGGAGAGATTTTGAGCTTTTGGCCAACCCAAATTACCAAATGCATCAAACCCATAGCCCTTGCCAGTTAGCCCCTTAGTCAGTTAGTCTACGTACGTGAGCGGCTTAATAGAAGAAAACAATGAACACCCTAAAGCTAACTTCAAAATATGTGAACCTGGTGTGTACTGTGTCCTCTGTCGTCAAGTGGTGGAATAAGTGAGGGCTTGAAGTGATTACTGCTAAACTGATCAACAGTTTATTGAGTAAGTTTTTTTCATTCAAAACTGTTACTAGTATTATCTATAATTTGATGTTGTTTTGTTTTTTAATTTTTAGAAATTAGGATTTGATTCGTGATACTGCCTATTGTGTATGATTAATTTGCTATTGTGTATTTGTGTGTGTACTGCCATCATAAGATTATGCTCAAATAGCTGAGGAAAGTAATCTAGCACACAACACATACCATTTTTATGATTAAATGTAATGTTGGGGTTCTCAACAAATGCGGTGTCATGTTTTTTCATGATAAAATGTAAACAAATATCTGTTCCCTCAATTTTTTTGATGTAAACTCCTTTATCAAGGCGCCAAAATTAAAGTAACAATTTTCCCAAAATTAAAGGAGTGCCCCATCTATGTTCCCCAAATCACCAATCTCCGGAAATACCATTCCATCTTCTTCAAATCTTCTACTTAAAAAAAAGCACTTTTGAAGAAGTAAGGAAAAAGTGATTGGTAGTAAAAGTTGATAGTGTTTGAGAAAAAAGTGATTTTGAAAAGTAAAAGTTGGTAGTGTTTGGTAAAATAAGTGTTTTTTGTGTAATAGAAAAGGGAAAAGCACTTTTCACACGCAAGCTGAGAAAAAGTAAAAATTGGTAGTGTTTGGTAAATAAGTGCTTTTTAAAGCCAAAAGTTGAGAAATGTTTTTTTTTAAGCAGTTGAAAACACTCCCTAATTGCCTACCCCGTTCATTCAACTATGTCTAGCTAGTCATTGTCGTCTCTCATTCGTGGGGAGAACTCACTTCCGTCAATAGAAAAAGGGGCATTCCTTAGGTGGCGGAAAGTTCCATAGGAAAACCTAGCGAGTAGCGACACTTGCGTACTAAGTATACACAAATATATGTGTGTAAACTGTAAACACATGTAATGCAAACTTGAGATCCCAAAAAAGGACCTCTAAAAGTAACAAATTTGCATGGGTTACGTTGTATAAATATATAGTACTTACATTCTTAACTAATTGCAACATATTGACTGACACCAACATACACTAGTTTAACTGCGTTAGAAGTATTAAAACATGATTAAATATTACTCTGTAGTATTTTGAAAATGTTATGGAGTGTTAATTTGTTTCACTTTAAGTTTTCAATATCTAAACTTTCCATAAATTTTACTACTGACCAATTAAATTTATGAGTGGTCAAATGTGTGCATTTCTAAATGTGAAAATGATAATATGGCACAAAGTAACTATGCATATAGTACATATGTATAATGTACTATATGGTACCTAACGTATATTATGCATACGTTTGATACTTTGATGTTTTGAAAACATTGGGTGTGCTAATGTTATAAGCATATGTTTGCAGTTTGCTTGGTGTTTAGAAAAATGGTTGTGCTAATTCTATAAGCATTATCATATTTTGAAACTTCCGTCAAGGAGGTGGTTGCTGCACTAAAATATTACTCCGTATCACAAACTACATGTACATTTTATGTTTTATTGATAAAGTAATTAGAGATAACAAAATCTTCAATCAAGTCAACCTAAGGGAGTTTGGGGATTGCTTCTAGTTTAAAAAATTGATTATTTAATCGATTTCTCAGAGATTGTTTAATCGTAGAAGTTAGTAGTGTTTAATAAAAAACGTATTTGTTAAACATGAAATAGTTTAGTAAAAAAATATTGTTAGCTATATGTTGTTAACAAAAATGTTTCTTATCTTAAAAAAAATAAAAGTTGATAATGTTTGATAAAAAGTGCTATGTGTGCAATAGGAGAAATGTAAAGTGGTTTAAATAACCACTTCACATGCTTCTAATTTTTGGCTTTTGAATGTTTAATTTAAGCTAAATTTATCACTTGCAAACATTGCTTTAATTTTTAGGCCAAATGGTGAAAAATACTTTTCAATTTTTCGATTTATGCAAACATTTCTTAAACGAACAAGATCATACACAAGGGCATAGGGCACTCACATTTAGAGCTGTTTGCGTCTTTAAGTTAATTAACTCCATAGTCCATAGTTACGTTCCTCCGATTTATTATTAAAGCTTAAAATTTTCTAAATTTTGAATCTGACAATCCTAATTCAGAATCGTTTTTAAATCTTCGCTGATTGGGACGAAAAAGCAAGTAAAAAAACAATTAACCAAACACTGTTATTAGCTGATCGATCTAGTACAATAAAAAAGCTCAAATGGACAAAACAATAAAAAAACGAGTGATAAGCTCCTATCCAAACACCCCTAGTTAAAAATAACAAGTGGAAACATTCAAGTACTATATGTCGAATTACGTAGTATTATTTTGCCTAGTAAGTCTATCCTTTTTTACAATAAATTACATTCATTGTAATTTATCAAGTATGAAGTTTTTTTTTTCTGTATGACAATCACGTTCATTCTTATCTTTGTACGGACTATATTTCAACCAAAAAGTCTCCTTTATCCACCTTCATAGTTTAGGGTACTTAAGAGTATCTTTAAGGTGAGCCCCTTA